TAAATGTGCTCTGCCTCTGTTCCTGCAGTGCTGTCTACCTATGTCTGTATTCAGATCACCGAGCCTCTCCAGTGCAATGTCGTGACATCAGAGCCCCTCCCCTACGCGTATCGTCACAGGGTCACGTGACTTCATCAGGGGGAATGATTAGATGCCACGACTATGCTAATACTCCTATTTATATCTCTCGGCCGCCACCAAATTATAACGTGATATCTGTCTGCCAGACATTGCTAACTGGGTCAGCTGTGATCTGTCTCTTGCTCTGCAGTTTCTGCAGAAACTGCAGAGCAAGAGACAGATCACAGCTGACCCAGTTAGCAATGTCTGGCAGACAGATATCACGTTATAATTTGAGTAGACACACAGGTGTAAACACACTCACCATACATAGAGTTTAAGAAAATCACTGGGAAAATGGCCGCGCCCATTGGGCTCCAGTAAAAAGGCGGCCGAGAGATATAAATAGGAGTATTAGCATAGTCGTGGCATCTAATCATTCCCCCTGATGAAGTCACGTGACCCTGTGACGATACGCGTAGGGGAGGGGCTCTGATGTCACGACATTGCACTGGAGAGGCTCGGTGATCTGAATACAGACATAGGTAGACAGCACTGCAGGAACAGAGGCAGAGCACATTTATGCTGGACTACAATTGTATACTACTGTGCAACTGGCAGCAATAAACCCCCTTTTTGCACAAGGATAAGACACTATGGTCTGTTTGTCTTCCTTTCTCAATTGAACAACACCCTTTGAGCTGATATAAGGAGGACTGGAAAAGGAAACAGCCCCAGGAGGGGAATTGGGAGATCCTCAGAGAGATGGTCAGTACACCCACTCATGAGCAGCTACAGGAGAACAAATATAAATCCACATCCACCTTCTGAGATAATTCAAGAGCATCATTCCATCCCATCTATCCTGGAAGGATAAAAAGTGTATTTGCCTGGATTTATTCAGGCAAATATAGAGGTGAGCACATAGGGAGACCATTAAGCACTCGGCGAGAGGGAACAAAGAATCCACCTGCACATTTATTTTGAAAGACTTTTTTTTTTTTTTTTTTTTTTTTTTTTTATTGAATATATCATAAGCACGTGCACATAATATATATGTGTTTGCACAATATAAATATAAGGATCACAGTAGAATAGAGGAGTATTTCTGATTTGTATATCACTGTACTTTAATAGGCACTATCACCTTAGGATTATCAGTTATTAATGTCACTTGCATGAAGATTAATATTCACAATGATGTTTTGAGTCACTAGTAATAATTGTTTGATACATGCAGTATCTTGAAAGCTATTCATTAGCACTTTGAAAGTATAAGATATACATATTGGCATGGGAGCGCGGCACTATCTATTTTGAAAATATTATATATACACTAGCATATGAGTCAGTGCAAGTGCCAGCGAACCTCACGTGAGAAATAAGGACATCTAAAGTCACATATTGAACACCTCATTTCATAATAGCTCACAAGCATTCACCATTTATACTGTTAGACACTGATGAGAAAACCTGGTTCACAATTAACCTTCCAATTCACCATAAAGGTGTTCAATAGGATTGTAGTCTGTTCCAGGCCACTCAGGCTTCTCCACACCAAACTCATCACTCTTAGTCATTATGGTGGTGCCATTGAGCACAGGGGCGCAGTCATGCTGGGACAGGAAAGGTACTTGCAATATTTTAGGAAGTGCTGTAAAGTTTTAATGGCCAACATCAAGGCAACTAAAAAGTGTCAGCCACACATTACTACAGTACTTGTGTATTCAGCAGTGGGGCTGCTATTAGAAATCACGGGGCCCTGTACAGCCAACTGACAGGTACCACCCTCCAAAAATCTCATATTATATTTCCACTAAAATGCCACAGCCATGATGCTATGCTTCACAGCCATGTCAGAAATTATACTTGCATCGAACAAAACCCATTCAAGGGACTAGTGCTGCTCTGAAAGTGCCCCTCAACCGTGTGCAAGTGGTCACGGTGTGCTAGTGTAGGGTTAACGCTAGCAATATGCCTCCTTACCGCTTGTCAATCTGAAGAGCGATCCAAATGCTGACTGCTCTTTAGTGTGCAAAGCACATTTAAACAAGTCCCTAATTTTTTTAAATTATGTTTTAGAATTGTAAATTTTTTAACATTTTATTTTAGAATTTTATTTTATTTATTTTTTATTTGTTTATACTTCCCTGTTGGGGGAATTTTGGTAAAATATCAGGGGTCTAAACAAACCCTTGATGTTTCATATTTGAGACAGAGAAAGGGACTGAAGACAGAGATTCCCCAATCCCATTCTCTGCAGCCTCAGCTAAACTGGACAGTGAATGAATAGGAAGTGCTCTGAGGCGTCCTGTGTCCATTCATCACTGAAGCATAGTAAACTGTGGTTAATATGCTTCAGTTTGATCAGTACCGATCACTCACTGTGTTCATTCAGGAAAGGAAGGGGCCAGTAAATATGGCATATTTACTGGTCTCCTTCCCACTCTCCATCCTAAAACCAGTCCCCTGTGTGTCCATAGCAGTTGTTGGCAGGAAAGGATAGGAGGAACGCTGGCAGCACTGCAGGGAACAGGGGCACACAGGGGGGCCTGACAGCAGGGGGAAAGGGGTGCAGATCCAAGAAACAATCCCCCTGCAGTACAGCCAGAGGGAGAGAGAAGAGTAGAAGCCGGCAGCACTGCAGGGGATCCACAAGTGTCAGCAATTAGGCAGTAAGGCCGGCCCTCCTGCTTAGCAGGTGCCTATGCCCCCATTTTGAACTGATGGGGCATGGGCTCAATACAGGAGGTCCTGCTATAATGCCTTATCAGCGGCTCTGTTCAGCAGCCACAAATCCTGCTGACCATCAAATTCAATAGCCAGGAGGTGAGTGTCAATGCTGTTTATTGTGAATGGGGGATAAGTAAGAAAGGCAAAAAGGAAGTAAGAGGATGGAGGAAAGAAGTGAGGGGGAGGAAGGAAGGAGAAGGAAGAAAAAGTGAGGGAGGAAGGAAAAGGGAAAGAATGGAAGAAAGGTAGAGAGAAATGAATGAGGAAAGAAAAAATGGGAGGGATAGAGGAATGCAGGAGAAAATGGAGGGGGGAGAAGTAAGAAGAAAATGGGAGAAAGAGAAAGAATTAGGGAAAGGGAGAGGGGATAGAAGGAAAGAAGGAACATTATTATCACAGTATTTGAAGGAAGGACTTGCTACCTGTAGACATGTCTACTGGAATTCTGAGATATGGCAGGGGGAAGCCTTTTTAGCACCAAAAGTGGTAAAAACACACGTTGCCGGTTGTCATCAACAAAAACCAATACAACAAAGATATTTGCAAAAACACTGTAGAGACACAGATGGTTACAGCTCCAACATCTTAATATCCTTACACTTTCCACAGACATAGAACATTACACCCTCCAACATTTCCTGATTACTGACTGTGAATATAATACATTTCTGCTGTATTCTATACAACTATTGACTCCATCCAGACCGAAGATGTGGAACACAATGTACAGTTATGATGTACACACCGCCTGTCTGTTTCTATTATTTGTGTTTTATATCATAAAGACGAACAAAAATACTAAAACAAACAGGGGTTTTGCTATAGTTTTAAAAGAAGCAAGACACCACCAGCTGGACTAGAATATGACGGGGATTGTAATATACCATTATTAAAATCAGTTGAAGCAGATTCTGGCCCTTTGCTGTCAGTAGTCACCGGCTATTAAGTATGGTTATGCATAACACCCAAAATATGTAATGTCAGAACTGTGATAGCATAACTGAAATTAGCAATCAAATGTATCATTGTTTAAAACAAATACATTCAAAGGTAGAAATGCTACATAATGCTCCCAAAGCATACTGTGCAAAAAATGTATAATTTTGTTGTTAATCATTGGGAATTATTTTATTAATGTGTATCACAAACTAATATTTATTTTATACACCAGGATTAGGATTAGAACCTCTATAAGGTTTTTATTGCTTTTTTATATTGGGTGGGTTCATCCTCTCTATTTGCCCTGAAAACGATTATCACTGGAAAAGATGAGAAGACATCCAAATATTTAAAGGTTGCCAGAACAAGAGGTGAGGGTAAATCTCCTAACAGAGACACCATAATGAACAAAGGAATTCTCTTTACTTAGAAATATGTTCTGACAATCTGTTGCATTTCCAGAACAGGACGTGCAGGGAAATCAAACAACACAAACATTTAAATAAATAAATAAAAAAGAAGGGTTTTCCATTCTTTCCAAAACTAAAAAACGGGGGGCTTTACATTCACGTAACAAAGAAAAACATAATTTAAAAGTATATAGGATACATAATCTGTTCAAAATGTGCTGTGCAGAGACTGTACCACTTTGTTGTAATCAGTGATCATTACATGAATATACAAAATGTACTGCTCTAATTGTACTAAACAGGTGCAGAATGTATAACATGTAAAATAACTACACAAAAAATAAATCTCAGTCCAAATACAAGGTGAATCAACCCACACCTTCAGTATTTAAAAAAATGTGAGTGTCAAAAGAAGTCCAAATTGTGAATCTTATTCCAAACAGATCTCCACCACCATACAGGTATGGCATGAATGCTTACAAAAGATGTAGGACTCTCATATTATAAAGAAGTCATAAAAGGCATAATCTACCGTATTTTGTGCTCCATAAGACGCACCTGACCATAAGACGCACCTAGGTTTTAGAGGTGAAAAACAAGAAAAAAAATATTTTGAACCAATGAACTGCAGACACAGTACAGGAGATGTCCAGAGACTGCAGACACAGTATAGGAGATGACCAGAGACTGCAGACATAGTACAGGGAATGACCAGAGACTGCAGACATAGTACAGGGAATGACAAGAGACTGCGGACACAGTACAGGAGATGACCAGAGACTGTAGACACAGTACAGGAGTTGACCAGAGACTGCGGACACGGTACAGGGAATGACCAGAGACTGCGGACACGGTACAGGAAATGACCAGAGACTGCGGACATAGTACAGGAAATGACCAGAGACTGCAGACATAGTACAGGAAATGACCAGAGACTGAGGACACAGTACAGGAGATGACCAGAGACTGCGGACACAGTACAGAAGATGACCAGAGACTGAGGACACAGTACAGGAGATGACCAGAGACTGCGGACACAGTACAGAAGATGACCAGAGACTGAGGACACAGTACAGGAGATGACCAGAGACTGTGGACACAGTACAGGAGGTGACCAGAGACTGCGGACACAGTACAGGAGATGACCAGAGACTGCAGACATAGTACAGGGGATGACCAGAGACTGCGGACACAGTACAGGGGATGACCAGAGACTGCAGACAGTACAGGGGATGACCAGAGACTGTCATGTGTCCCAGAAGTCGCCGGACCATTCAAAAAGCGCAGCGCTTCTCACGCATGCGCAGTAGGCTCCCGGCTGTCACAGAAGCCAGCGCGGGAAGACTACAGGGCTGGACAGAGGAACAGGTTTGATCCACCTGCTATTTGGGCTGAGATTTATTTTTGTGTGGCTATTTTACATTTTATACATTGTGCACCTATTTAGTATGATTAGCGCAGTACATTTTGTATATTCTTTATGGTTACTATGACAAATATCCCATAGTGTGTCTGCAGCATTTTTAATAATTCTTTATATTTTATTTTTGTCCTCAAGCGCCATTTTCGTTCCCTTTTTTTTCACATAGCAAACATTACATTAAAGTGTTAAAGTGAAATTTAACTATATCTGAGCACCACAACTTGAAAACACTATTTAATTAAAATTATCCCCATGCTTTATTTTGTTGAGAAATCCCTTTGAAAAACACCCCTAGCATTTCTAGACAAGGACATCTTGAGTAAGGGCAGATGATACATGGAGAATTTACTTCTTGGAATCTATCTGGCCTTAGCTCAGGCATGCAGACAGGGGGTGTGCTTAGCTGAGAAAGCACCTCCTCCCCTCCTCCAGATGAAAGAAAAAATGCCCAAGGAGACTTCTGGGAAGTATGACATAATATTGGTGTAGGCCACAAACTAGGAAGCAACTGAAGAAATCTTCAGCACTGAGCTTTCCAATGAGAGCTTTCACAGAGCATGACAATGTACTGAAGTATGGATCACTGGTCTGGTTAGCAGAGGGGTGTGTCTGGGAACACTTCCTTATAGTCGAGTGTGCATGCAGACAAGTGGGGGAGTGGGGTGGGGAAGAATCAAACTCAGATTCGGTTCAGTTTAACTACTCCCAGTGTAAGTGCACCCTTAGTGTAGGGTCACACTGTGGCCAGCTCTGAAAATCAATCCATGGTGGTTGAGAGATGGTTACGCAGCAGCTTCCAGGTGTGCAGGAGGTGATCCTGCCATCTCCTGAATGCCTTTTTGCTCTTATTTCTTTGCCACTAGTTCCATTTAAAATGGAAATCACATGCTGCAGGCATGAGCTAAGCGCCTGACTCGTGTTTGCGGCACTGCACTATTGACTTAAATGGTTTCGTTTAACAGGCGCTGTCCCCTGTGATCTCAAAAACCTGTGCTAAATTTGGAAGGGAAAGGAAGGAAAGGAAAAGGAAAAGGAAAGGCAGGTTTACAGTTCTATCATGGTGTCTAAAAGAAGAACCAAATTTCTATTTTGGAACCCCATGGCTGGAACATCCTAAGATCTACTGAATCTCCAGTCCCCAGTTAAATTCCACTACTAAAACCTGAGCCATGCAAAATCAATGACCAACACTGCAATGTAATATATATGCTCATGACATATAACAAGAGGCATCAGGACCACATAAACACTGAACATCCTAGATACATGTGATCAATACAACATATGGATCTACTACATTTTGTATAGATATAAAATAAAGAATACTACAACTTCTTAATATCACCTGACCAGTGAACATGTTATAATACTTTATTACTGCTCATATATAGACACTGGAAACTAACCTCTAACACGTCTTCTCCTTAGTCCACAATTACACTGCATAAAATAAGAAAATAACACTGTTTACACTCCTGGTGCCAACCTGTGGCCAAAGGGCCACATATGGCCCTTTTTTACTTGATGTGTGGCCCTTGGACTGAAGTTTGCGGTGGGAGTGGGAGCATAGATCTGTAAAGAGGGTAATGGCAGTGATCTCTACTAGCCTTGTATTACATGTCATAAGTCTCTCACTGTCTTCTGCAGCATATCTCCAGTCTCCAGCTAAATCTGTAGCATGTCTCCGGTCTCCAACTAAATCTGTAACATGTCTCCAGTCTCTGATCATCTTTTCCTCTAATATGTCTGCATATACTAAACATCACGTGCACCCCTTTGGTGATGTTGGGAGCAGCAACTGAGATCCTCTATACCTTGTAATTTGACAACCACTGTTTTAGGCCAACACGTTGTTATGGGAAAAAGATCTTCAACAAAATGTAAACTCTTCAATCTATTCTGATAATTTGTGTCTGTTGCTTTATAAATCAATGTTCATATTTGCCAGCACACCATGGATCATCAAGCTTTTTTTTTTTTTTGAAGAATGATCACATCACAGAAAGAAAGGTGCAATGATTCAGAGTCGCACATGACCCCTCGTCAGGCATGTGATCACATTCCTGACGAAGGGGTGCTGCACAGCTCCAAAAATGTTGCAACTTTCTTTCTGTGATGTGATCATTCTTCTTCTTAAAAAAAAAAGCTTTTCGTATGACATTGGTGGTCCGTGGTGTTCTGGCAAATATGAACATTGATTTGTGATTGTTCCAGTTTCCAGCTGGATGTTGCAGCAGCACCTGCTACTTTCCAGCCCAATCCAGGAATGTGTGCGACGGGAATGTTAACATTATCTTGTTGCTTTATAACAACACATGTGAGTAGTGTTTAAATGCTTTCTCAAGCTCTTGTAGGCTACATAGAGTTCACCTGTGGTTTTATAAAAAAAAATGTTTTAAAAGAAATGTATTCCCAGCAACAGATCCTTAACAGAGTCCAACTGTATTACAAACCATACAGACAAATATCCTTATGTCCCCAAGTATGACCCAATCATTGGAACTGATCATAACACAATTCTGTAATACCATAAAGCACTACACCTCCAACATGACCTGAGTGGTCAGTGTAATAGCGTATGAATGCATTATTCATCATGGCCCATACCTAGGCTGTAAATGTACACCACCCATCATCCACAACCATATACAGTGAAGGAAATAAGTATTTGATCCCCTGCTGATTTTGACCGTTTGCCCACTCACAAAGAAATGATCAGTCTAAAAATCGAATGGTAGCTGTATTGTAACACTGAGAGACAGAATGGCAACAAAAAATTCAAAAGAAATGCATGTCTAACAAATTATGCACTGACTTGCATGTTCATGAGGGAAATAAGTATTTGATCCCCTATCATTCAGCAGGATTTCCGGCTACCAGGTGTCTTTCATACAGGTAACAAGCTGAGATTAGAAGCAGTCTCTTAAAGGGAGTGCTGCTAATCTCATTTTGTTACCTGTATAAAAGACACCTGCCCACAGAAGCAATCAAACAATCAGATTCCAAACTCTCCACCATGGCAAAGACCAAATAGCTGTCCAAGGATGTCACGGACAAGATTGTAGACCTACACAAGGCTGGACTGGGCTACAAAACTATCGCCAAGCAGCTTGGTGAGAAGGTGACAATAGTTGGTGTAATCATTCGCAAATGGAAGAAACACAACACAACTGTCAGTCTCCCTAGGTCTTGTGCACCATGCAAGATCTCACCTCGTGGAGTGTCAATGATCATGAGAACAGTGAGGAATCATCCCAGAACTATACGTGAGGAACTTGTCAATGATCTCCAGGCAGCTGGGACCACAGTGACCAAGAAAACAATTGGTAACACACAGGCAAGTATTGAAATCCTGCAGTGCCCGCAAGGTCCCTCTGCTCAAGAAAGCACATGTCCAGGCCTGTCTGAAGTTTGCCACTGAACATCTGAATGATGCAGAGGAGGACTGGTTGAAAGTGTTGTGGTCAGATGAGACCAAAATCAAGCTCTGTGGCATCAACCCAACTCGCTGTGTTTGAAGGAGGAGGAACGCTGCCTATGACCCCAAGAGCACCATCCCAACTGTCAAACATGGTGGTGGAAACATTCTGCTTTAGGGGTGTTTTCCTGCTAAGGGGACAGGACAACTGCACTGCATCAAAGGGACGATGGACGGGGAAATGTACCATCAAATCTTGGGTGAGAACCTTCTTCCCTCAGCCAGGGCATTGAAAATGGGTCGTGGATGGGTGTTACAGCATGACAATGACCCAAAACACACGGCCAATGCAACACAGGAGTAGCTCAAGAAGAAGCACATTAAGAGTGGCATAGACAGTCTCCAGACCTTAATCCAATTAAAAATCTGTAGAGGGAAGCGCTTTTGTTTAAACCAATAGTGGGCCTACTTCTTCCTGAATGGCAGCTGGCATCGCACCTTTTCATGGCCACCAAGCTGACGATTGCGAGGGCTTGGAAGACTCCCCTCCTCAGCTTCGAGGCTGTCAAAAACCAGATGAACTTTATAATGGTTAACAAAAAGTTGACAGCTATACTGTTAGATACCCACACAAAATTTCTGAAGAAATGGCATCCCTGGCTTGATATAGCTCAACCGTCGAGATTCGACTAGTCCCTTTTGTCGATTTAAAATTTACATATCAGTTTATTTTTCTTTTTTTTTTCTGCTGCGGTCCCCCTGAAGCCCTTTTCTTTGTCTTGTCTCCTTTCTCTTTGTTCCTCTCTTTCCTTTTGTTTAGTCTGTTTTTATGCTATTTGTGCTGATTGTGATTTCTGCTTTGAGTGCCATACCAGCAGTACTATATTCATATGCTGGACTCCTTCGAGAGCCCTGCATATGGAGTATCTATCTGCATTCAGAGAGGCTCCATCTCCCATCTTCCCCGCCTTCTGTGTGCTGATATACTGACAATTTTCCTTAGAGTTTATTATGTCATTGGTCTCTAAGGGGTTTATTTACTAAAGCTGGAGAGTCCAAAATCAGACTCCCTTCTGCATAGAAACCAATCAGCTTCTAACCTCAGCTTGTTCAATGAAGATTTGGCAATGAAACCTGGAAGCTGATTGGTTTCTATGCAGAAGGGAGTCTGATTTTGGACTCTCCAGCCTTAGTAAATAAACCCCTAAAAGTCTATCATTTTTAATATATATATATATATATATATATATATATATATATATATATATATGGCACCTGTGTACGGAGTTTATTCTCATGTCTTAGCATCAGTACATATTCTGTATTACTCATCGAATACCTTGTATGTTTTATTCCTGTCGGTCAATGCATCTGTTTTTGACTGATTCTCTGCTGTTACCTATTGTATAATAAAATTCTTTGTAAAAGAAAATCTGTGGAGGGAGCTGAAAGTTTGAGTTGCCAAACGTCAGTCACCAATCCTTAATGACTTGGAGAGGATCTGCCAAGAGGAGTGGGCCAAAATC